CCCTCTACCCCCTTCCCTCCCTCCCTCTACCCCCTCCCTCCCTCCCTCTACCCCCTCCCTCCCTCCCTCTACCCCCTCCCTCCCTCCCTCTACCCCCTTACCTCCCTCCCCCCCTCTCTCTTACCAATCTTATCAGCTCGCCGGGCCGCCTCCAGCGTCGCCGCAGTGTACAGTGCGGTCAGGCGCCGCTCGAAGGGAGCCGACTTGTTCGCCCCGGCGGCCTTGATGGCGGCAGTCTCCGTCTGGTCGGTTGATTTGATTGATTGATTGATGAACCGATTGGGGAAAGCCATCAAGCAACGCGCAGGCAAAAGTAAAGTAAAGAGATAACAAGATAATGTTAAGAAATGATAATTTCCTGACCTCAAACCCGAATTAAAGCCCGTGCGCGGCGTTGAGATCAAGAGATGCAAATTCGCGTCGGAAGGAATTATGTGGAAAAGAAAAGTAAGAGATCTTACATGCTGAAGAGGTCATCTGCTAAACCCCCTCTCATTTTTGTTTGTCCGCAAACAGATTGTTGAATTCGGTTAGGCTTGCAGTACCTCCACCAACTCCCCCCACACTACCCGTCGGCTCATAACCCCCAATGTCCAATTTGATCCTACCTGAGGTCTGCTCCTCATGCCATTGGTGGACCTCCCCGTGCACCCAACCTCTACCTCTAGCTCTACCTCAACCTCTTACCCCACCCCACCCCTCCCGTACCTGCCGTACCACCCCCACCCTGTACCCCGCCCTGCACAGCCTCCTCACGTACACAGGCAGGCGGTAGACGGGGAAGGAGGCGGTCAGGAAGTTGTGATCCATGTGGGACCAACTGCGGTGGGGGGAAGAGTGAGGGGAAGTTCTTACCGCACGGTGAAAAAGTCGAATAAACAGCCGTACATTCCAAAGCACCGACTGGCGGGAAAAGAGGAGGGAGGGAGGGAAAGACGAACCACGAACGAGTGAGGCTGCTGCCAGGGCAAGAATTCACCAGGAGTCGAAGGGAGGGAGGGAGGGAGGGAGGGAGGGAGGGAGGGAGGGAGGGAAGGAGAAGCGCGTGAAAGGCAGCAGATGAGGCGCAGCGGTGAAGCGACAAGCACACTCACAGATTGCAAACCCTTGCGGCGACCTCCGCATCCTCTCCGAAGAACCTCATTTTGTAGCCGACCTGCCGGAGCAACCCACCGAGGCGGGGGGAGAGGCCGGGGGAGGCGGGTGAACGGAGAGGGATAGGCAGCTAGGGGTGAGGATGATGAACACAACCGGCACACAAGCAGGACAAACAGACAAACAGACAAACCGGGGTATCAAGAAAAACAAAAACCCTGTCGAGCCTCCCGAGTACCTCAATCCCTTTTGTTTAAACTTCCCCAGCACTACCACCTCAGTTGCATATGCCCTGACCTCACCTCCACGATGAGCAATGTGCCCGGGTTCTGGGCCCTGAGCTCCACAACCTGCTGCTCCAGGGGGGTTAGCTTAGCGCCGCCACCGCCGCCACCGCCGCCGCCGCCACCCAAAGCGGCAGCGGCAGCCCCAGACTCCAACCCCACCCGGCGGCCGTACTCCTGTGCAAGTTTGTGTCGTACAAGCTCCCGCTGCTGCGGTGTCATCGTCTTCGGCTGGAATGCTGCTGCCTCGTTTCCGTCGCTACGCGCCGCTGCCGCTGCCCCTCCTGCGCCTCCACTTTTCTCCCCAGTGCGCGGGGTTACGGCCGGAGTGCCGGCAGCGCACGAGGAGCGTTGTCGCCGCGCAGCCAGGAGCCTCCGTAGCCCGCTGCCGCTGCCGCCGGTGGAAGCGCCCTGTCCGGCGTTGTCCAGGGCAGCCAGCAGGGGTGTGGGAGTGCCTGCGGCGGCAGCTGCGGCAACGGGACGGGTGTCTTGGGCAGCTTCCTCCCCACCATCGCCCAGCTGCTGACCGTTATCGTGATCAGAAGACGTTGAGGCCTCGAGCAAGTCGATTACAGGCTCTGCGCCAGCACGGTCGACATCCATCATCTCCGAGGTCTCGGCTTGCGGACGAGACCGTGCAGCCCCGCTACGCTTCTTGGAAAGAGCAGCGCTGCCGGCTGCATCACGACCGGCAATTGGCTTGCTGGCATTTAAATCGCTAACGCGGCGCCTTTTCGCTGGGGGCCGTCCTGGGACATCATCATGGCCAGGCCCCTGCCTTGGAGCCTCATCAGCAGGTTGACTGGAGGGCCCAGGAATATTTCCAGATGATGTTTTGAAGAACGCGCTGATGCTTCGCTGCTTGGTCTGCTTGGCCTGCCCTTTCCCGCTCATTATGCACAAAGTCCGACGCCTCGGGATTTCAATGTAATTACTTACAAAAATTATCACAAGGTAAAGCGCGATATGCACCAGGGTTACCGTGATAAAGCTTCAGGGCACAGCATTACGGAACCCACAACACCCAAAACAAGCCATCCGCTTGCAAAGCAACTTTCAAGGTAGAGCAAACAAACAACATTACGGATACAAGAAGTTCATCTATCTATCAGGGTACGGACTCGTGTAAAACTTTGGGCAGCAGCAGAACCCGCCAGCGCCCCCAGCCAATTCCGATCCCGTGTACCGCAGGAGATTTTCTTCACCCGGCCAACCGTCTCGCGCAGGCATGCACAAACAGGATGAAACATGCGCGGCCGCACCAGATTGCCCGTGCAGCGGGAAAACCACTCCGACGCTTGCACCAAAGGGCATCGATTCATGAATGCGCTCATCAGTTTAATTCAATATTGGGTCGTCGTCTTTGGAGATCTCATCCATGACCAAAAATGTGGGAACAGGAAACCCCATGCCATGCACGGCGGGGGGATGTACCTCATCTCCTGCACTTGCAATCTGGAACCCACTGTAACAACCACACTTGCACCAAGCACCATGTCGTCGTCGGTCACTTGCACTGCGCACGCCAACCAGACATCCACACTACCATCCAGTACCATCCAGTACCATCCAGTACCATCCAGTACCATCCAGTACCACCCACCGAGATCATTTATGTCCAAACCCTAAGCTGATGCGGATGGTCACATCCACCCGCGTTTGATCATGATGGTGATAATGCTGTTGATGGTCAAATCCTCCGATGCAGCAGCATACATACATACATACATATCGGACAGAACCGCACAGAGCATGCAACCAACCCACCAGCCAGCCACACGGCATGGTGACTTGAGCTCACGCCTGTGCCCCCCTGGCATTACCAACGCTGCGACCATCACCAAAAAAGACAACTTTCCTTCTCAGCCCGTATGCAGTACAATCCGTAACGTAAGCAGTACAAAGACACTTGTATTTGCGCTAAGAGTCCAAGTGCCAGATATCATCCAAGCATTAAATTGTACTGTGCAAAGGATGCTGCACTGCTGCACTGCTGCTGCTAGTATCGGTGGGGCACATGTACTATAGTATACATGTACGGCATCGTAGGCAAAGTGCGGCCGCCTACGTTATTAACTACGTTATAAACAGTTTCACGCATATAGCAGCGAGCCGCATGTAAGCGAAGTGCCTACTCACTCGGGAGCATGTGTGTACGAGATGCAACCATGCAAGCCATGCAGAAACACAACTAGGCTTTCTCCGCAAGCGCAATCACGAGGAAATGCACACGCATGCACCGTACATGTACACATATATGTTATATAGTACGAATAATATGTATGGAAAAGCTGAAAACCACTGACTAAAATGCCGTCGTCAGGATGATGTTGTCAAACCGTTAAACCACCTAGCTAGCCACCACACTGAACAGCAAAAGCAAGGCCGGGCTGCTGCATGCTGCATGTGTTTCACCAATAAACCCCCCCAATGGTGACCTCCGGTAGGTGATATCCGATGGACCCCGAAACCACTTAGCCTGGTACCACTACACAGCATACCCATACCACACCCCCGGCTCGCTCCAACCCCCCACCCCCCCCCAGCTCCCAGGTCCCCGCAGTGAACCCCCCAAGGAATCCAACACGCCAAGACGCCACCAGCCTCACGCCCGCTCCCGCTCGGCAGCTCAAGAAGTATATATGCCGTCCAGACGTTCCCGGTTACCCTGTCGGCTCCGCTTTACTGTGACATACATACGTACGTACATACATACATACGCACACATAAAAGCACACGCAGGGAGCTGGGAGGGGGCACCGTCTAGAGCACCCGCTGCTGGACGTCGGATGGCTTTGGATGGCTCACCAAAATTATCAGCTGGCGCCTTGGTGTTGCTTTGACGGTGTCGTTGGTGGCGGCGCCGCCGCCGCTGCCGCCTTAGGCGCCGCTGCCGGCGCAGCTTCCCTTGCGGCAGGGCTTCCTTCCACAACTGGCGGCTCCACAGGCTGCACAGGATGGCCTGTTGGACGAAGGGGCTCGAGGACAGTTCGACTGAAGTTCGGCTTGGCGGCGGACGTGTCGCCGGCGGCGGCGGCATCGGCCCGCTCCCGCTCCGTACCAATGGCTGCGAGTAACGCATCCGGACCGCCAGATGAATCGAGCAGTCGCTCCAACGGCATCTGCGGGTCTAGACCGCGTGGCGGCCCCCCGCTAGCGCTGGAGGAACGGCGCTCCGACCCGTGGGTCGATGCTGCTGGCGAGCTGCTGCTGCCGGGAGCGCGTGAGGCGCCCGGAGGCGTCGCTGCGACGGAGCGTCCGGCGGTGGCGGGCAACGGCGGCCGCGGTGGCGGCGAGGACTGTGGTGGCGGCGGTGATAATGCACGTGCCGCAACAGTCGCGGTAGGGGCCGGCGGTGATGGTGGCTGCGCTTTCATGCCGTCGTCTGCAAAGGCCCGGGATGGCGGCGGC